TTGACTTTAATAAAAACAGTTCTAATAACAAAAAGATTACCACCACTACTATTACCAATAATAAATAATGATAATAGCAATAATAATAATAATTCAAGAGGAGAGTAGTCACAATTCCTCGGGTCAACAGCCCTTCACTAGCAGAGTAAAGCGTGTCAGAGAACTAACAAAGGCTCACGATACTGTCATCATGATCTATGATGAGGCAATCTGTCACAATATGTTTGAGAGTGAGCTGGCAGTCGTGGCGGAGTGGAGCACCACCATAAACACAATATATAACCCATATTCAAGCTTTATCACATTCTACTGTAATACAAATCATTGAGAATTTCTCACGAAAAAAGACTTTTTTTAAATCGTGTGATTTTGACAAAATTTTTACACAAGTAAAAGCTATAAAGTTAAAAAGCTTCTTGTTTTATAAATAGAATATTTCCATAACTTAGAAGAAACATATTATATATAAATTGCCTTCAAGAGTTAAAATTTTAATGTCTTACATAAACAATACTTCCAGTATTCCAAATTTTGTGAAAATATAAAAAATATGTATTACAATAAAATAGTAATTGAAAATGTTACAAAACAGAACTATGCATATATACTTTATTTCTAAAGGTGAAAAGAGTTATATTACACATATATATTATTAGCCTATTGTGGTATCACCTATTTACTGTGATCTTATATATATATATATATATATATATATATATATATATATATATATATATATATATATATATATATATATATATATATGTCGTGCCGAATATGTAAAACTGGTCAATTAGCAAGAACTCATTTAAAATTAAGTCCTTTCTAAAATTTTCTCTTATACGTTTAAAGATACATTTTTTTCATTAATGTTGATGTAAAAATTTATAATTTTGCACCAAAAGGAACTTAGAAAACTTACCTAACCTTATTATAACAAGAACAATTTATTTTAGCCTAACCCAACTAAATATATTTTAGATTTGTTTACAATAATTTAATACTAAACAAACACAGTCAAATATATTTTTTTCGTTAGGTTCAGAAGGATTTTGGCGAAATTATTGCATACACAAATTTTCACTTGTCCTATATGGCAAGATGAGCGTTGCTATTTAAGCCAAGATCGCAAGTTCTGCCTATTCGGCACGACATATATATATATATATATATATATAATATATATATATATATATATATATATATATATAGGGGGTGGTAGGAGAAGAAAATATTCAAACAGCTCTGGGAGAACCTTGAGTTTTCTCTGAGGTACGTTTATTGTCTTCTCTGAGGATGAGGGTCCCCATTCCAGCTATAGAGGTGGTATATATAAATATATATATATATAATATATATATATATATATATATATATATAATATATATATATATATGTCGTGCCGAATAGGCAGAACTTGCGATCTTGGCTTAAATAGCAACGCTCATCTTGCCATATAGGACAAGCGAAAATTTGTGTATGCAATAATTTCGCCAAAATCATTCTGAACCTAATGAAAAAAATATATTTCATTGTGTTTGTTTAGTATTAAATTACTGTAAACAAATCTAAAATATATTTAGTTGGGTTAGGCAAAAATAAATTGCTCTTGTTATAATAAGGTTAGGTAAGTTTTCTAAGTTTCTTTTGATGCAAAATTAAAAAAAAATTACATTAACATTAATGAAAAATATGTCTTTAAACGTATAAGAGAAAATTTTGGAAAGGACTTAATTTTAAACGAGTCCTAGCTAATTGACCAGTTTTATATATTCGGCACGACATATATATATATATATATATATATATATATATAATATATATATATATATATATATATATTATATATATATATATATATATATATATATATATATATATATATATATATATATATATATATATATATATATGCAATAAGCTATTAAATTTGTAATATGAATAATTATAATTTAAAACAGAAAAGTTTTTCTTTATTATTGTATGTTAGTCTTAAGTAAAGAAGAGACTGGATGCTACAAAAGATTTAAACATCCTACTCTAACCCTCAGACAAATAATGGTACAGCCAACAGCTGGACGCTTTTTACTGCTGAGAGACATAGGTGATCACCTCAAAATATGTAACAGACAGTTACAGCTCATGGGCGGAAATAACAGTTGGGGTGGTTATGAGTGGGTTGGAGATGAGTAAGTGGGTGGATAAGAGTGGGTTTGAGGTGAGGGGATGAGTGGGGTAAAGGTGGGTTTTCAAGGCTGTCGAAGATCGCATATGTGATCATAATATCGTTAACGTAATCGCACTAATACAGAAATAACCTCTTGTTTGTTAAGGAGGATTACCTTTCCCACGGCCCGGTCTCTGACTAGGCCTCCTGTGTTGGAAAGTTGTTGTTGTAGATTCGCCGGTAAAATAGCCCGGCTTGGGCTTTTTCCAAGAGGTGATCCGGCCTTGGCTCCGTGTTGTGGGAGTGTCTCAGATCACGTTTACATTTCACTCTTATTTGACAGGATGGTAGTACATCCCTGGATGATTGCTGTCTACCAACCTACTACCCTACTTTGAACCCTGACACAGCCCTGACGCAATACTCTACCCGCAACCCCTGAAACAATAACCTAACCTCAACCCTGATAAAGTATTCTGCCCACAAACCCGACACAATAATCTGTCCTAAGCCCTATCTCTGCTCAAATCCCTAACATAGTACTCTATCCTAATCCCAGACGAAGTATATACAACTCTTAACCCCAAGACACTCAGCTAGCCACAAGATGTGTCAGGAATCTATTGTAGTGTAAAAAATAAATTATGATAAACATTCCATATTCTTGAAGCATGACAATGGTGCACTGGTTCTAATTCTTAGCACAGTCATATGCTCTTATTGGCGTGCGCGTTCTGCACTTGCTCCTCTTTGACAAATGACTATAATTTAGAATTTTATGAATTCATTGCGCTCAAAATGTTATCTTTATTTATATAATCATTTTATATAAAGCTTTTTTATCATCCTCCACTTTATTATTGCATTGCTCGGAATATGATCGTTACGGTTTAGGAGGGACCTACACGCTGTTATGAGATTCCTTTACTAAATGCGAGGTTTTTGTGAGTCTAGCATCTTTATTACTAAAACCAATGCTATTACCTCGTTACTGCTACGACTATTACCCGATTATTACTACTACTACTACCATTGCTGATACTATTACTACTACTGACTCTGCTAGCACTATTACTACTACTGTTATTACCTCATTACTACTACTTATAATTGTGTTACCACTATTACTACTACTACTACTACTACTACTGCCTTCCTCTCCCTCCTACAGTCCAGTCTTCTGGCCTCTCTCTTTTGTCTCACTTTTGACTTTACACTGACCCAGGATTGACCAAAGTCGTCATAAGGCAGCGCTCCAAAGTGCGGGTTTTTGGTCAGCTACATCATATGTAATCTTTGTTTTTTGGCGTTGCTTGAAAATTATATTGCATGATTCTGTAGATTTTTCGTGACGTAATATATGTGAAATCGAAACACTTCATATTTAACTTCATATTCTATCGTCTGCACGTAAGTCATTATGGCTGCATGTCACCTGTGCACCACAAGTCAAAAATACTGTAATCCCTAAAATCTGAAGTAAGTTAGACTGTCAGTGCAAATACGTTTAAGTGATTTATATACCTCTCGGTGTATATACCCCTTCATATCTTTATGTTTATGAATGCCTTTAAGGCGGATCATCGATGTAAATCTCTAATTTGGTTAAAAGTATTTATTCGAACTATTTATAAATGTATATACTGCACAAGACTATTATTTTAAACATTGGCTTACCACTCAATGAGAGAAAATATTTCTCTGGACTGAAACTAACCCATAATTTTAAAAATATTCTTGCATATCGTGTATTTTAAAGCAATATTATTTTTTTTCCAGAAATAAGAATGACATGATTGTAAATGTTGCTTATTTGCAGTCACATCTCTGTCTTCGCCTGATAAAGTTAAATAAATTTAGCTATTCTAAACGAGTTTCGTAAAACATTTTGCCTCGTTTAAAAATTTCCATGCATGTAAAACAGTGAAAAAATATATTATGCATTCTCAGATAAGTTAGGTGAATTTAACAATTTCATTATACGTAAATGTGAGAGAGTTTAAGTTTGGATGCTATGTTATTTTTCGGTGGATAATAAGGAAATTTAATATTATTTGCGAAATTATATTAAACTATTATTCTTGAATGACTTGAAGGGGTAAAAATAGGAACAAATCTTCACATGATTCCCTTTTTATGGGTAGTTACTAAGGTGTAAAGTCTGTTGATAAAAGTTTCGTTAAGACTGCAGATTATAATCTGCATATTGTACGTTATAATAAAATAATCAAATATTACATGTCTCGTATCTTTAAACCTATAGCCAATAAACATTTTTCAAGGTGATATTTGGATTTAGGATATGAAAATACATAAGAATTAACTGATCTCATTTAAGAAGCATACAACTTTTCAAAAATTGTTAACCAGTGATATCTGTACACCAATAAGCTTTAGTAGTTTACTGTATAAGGTTAGGATTTAAATTAATTCTCACTGTGTTGCACCTAGAGATGGATATGCACTTCACGTGTATATACGCCGTTTCCATCAACAAGTATTACCAGTATCATAGCAACAATCATCCCAACAACAATCCTAACTCTCAAGAACCACCAACGAAAAGTGTAAGTTTCCCCAATAACCACCAAACCAACAAATAATACCAACAACCACTATCCCTAATCACTCACCAGCACCCCGAAGTTGTTCCACCTGGCACCTAAGGCTATAACACCAAAGAAACTAGCGAAAACTACAGATGGAATTACTTTCCAAGAACATATATACACAGAGCAGAACAGGACCCACACAAAGGAATCCTGTGACCCTGGAATGTCCATGTGCTAGTTAGGAAGGAAGCCGGAAGGGATATATAAGAGAAGGCAGGACCTCCAATCCCTAGTCCACACTCAGACTCGACTCCAAGACCACTTCGACCATGGTAAGACTGTTTTTTGCCTTTGCGTAATTATCAATACTCAGGTTCAGGTACTTTAGTGAAATAATTTCGCTATTCAACAGTTACTTATGGAATATATTGTCACTTTTTCTCTCATACGTTTAAATATATATATATTTTAATTTAGGTTAATGTAAAGATTAATTTTAAATGAGCTTTAGCTAATTGACCAGTTTTACCTATTCAGCACGACATTATATATATATATATATATATATATATATATATATATATATATATATATATAAATATGTCGTGCCGAATAGGCAGAACTTGCGATCTTGGCTTAAATAGCAACGCTCATCTTGCCATATAGGACAAGCGAAAATTTGTGTATGCAATAATTTCGCCAAAATCATTCTGAACCTAACGAAAAAAATATATTTGATTGTGTTTGTTTAGTACTAAATTATTGTAAACGTATTTAAAATATATTTAGTTGGGTTAGGCTATAAAATAAATTGCGCTTGTTATAATAAGGTTAGGTAAGTTTTCTAAGATCCTTTTGGTGCAAAATTAAATTTTTTTTATATTAACATTAATGAAAAAAAATATATCTTTAAACGTATAAGAGAAAATTTTAGAAAGGACTCAATTTTAAATGAGTTCTTGCTAATTGACCAGTTTTACATATTCGGCACGACATATATATATATATATATAATATATTATATATATATCTTATTTAAATATTTATATATATATATATATTATATAAATATATTAATAAATTGTATATTAATACTCAGGGGTCTTTTATCTTCAAGGAAATGCTTTCTCGATTCAATATTCATTTTCCGTTGTTACCCCCCCCCCAAAAAAAAAAAATCTACTATATCTCTTTGGTATTTTAATTCTGCCTAACGATGGAAAGGCTATGGGGAAACACCGGTTTCGCTATGGACTTGTAGATAAGTGGGACTAACTAGCAGGAAGTCACTTTGTCTTCAAGTTACTACCTTAAGCAGCATTACAAATATGGTTACTACCTTATGTAACTTTAAAAATCGTATAGAATTTAAGGTTTTACGTAAATTGGACTAGTCTAATGTGAACCAGCATGCCAGTTGAAGTGCTTCACAAATAAATTATAAATTGATATATATTTTTTTTTATTTTCCAAGCATTAGTGTTGTAGATGTTGTTTCATGTTGGTAACTTGTACATCTCTACTTGGCAACTGAAGCAATGATTCATAGTTATTTTACATTCACAAATGTTTTTTTTGTGGAAAGTCACTTTAATTAATAAATTCATTTTTATTTTTATTAGTATTATTAGCAGTAGTAATAGTAGTGGTAGTAATAGTGGTAGTAGTAGCAATACTTGTAGCAGTGTTGTAAAATGTTGATATGCTTATGGTATTTTTTTTAAAGACCTGTCGTCTGCCAGAAGACATCTTATTAAATTAGTGTAATTCAAACATTGTGTCAATATCATCATCATCATCAGCATTAGTAACAGTAGTAGTAGCAGTAGTAGTAGTAATAAAATTGTAACCTTGTTTCTTACATTCGTATACTTTCTGTCTCAGACGTTACTGGTGATCACCTTGTTTGTTGCTCTTCTGATGGGCTCGTGCAGGCCAGAAGACATTTCCAAACAAGGTGAAGCTCCCGACGAAAAACCGTCCAGCATACGTCGTGGCGGTCGTGGTAAAGTCTTGGCATACCATGATCCGGATGGATTTTTCAGGGGCATTGCTCCTGAAGCATTACCTAAAACAGTTCACGAGATCTTCTCAAAAGGCGGCGCTGGCCATCCCGCTGGAAAACACGGTGTACATGACAGCGTTAAGTTACCAAACAGTGGCTTCGGCAAGGCTCCACCAAGCACCTTCGGTATCAAAACTAACTCTATTGACAACGCCTATGGTTTGAAGAACGGTGTGCCAGGAGGCTTTGTGGGGTCTTCAGGTATAAAAACTAATTCTCTGGACAGCACTTATGGCTTGAAGAACGGTGTGCCAGGAGGCTTTGTGGGCTCTTCTGGTGGTCGTCATGGTCCTGTTGGGTCTCTTGGCCACCCTTACGGTGGCTTTGATGGCTCAAAGAACAGTATTGATGGTTCCTTCGGTATTCGTGGTATACCCATTGATAAGCGCCTTGGTGGATCTTTCCGAGGATTTGGTAAGTCTTTCGGTAGTGCTCTGGGCTCCATCGGTGGTCGTGGCAGGTCCTTCGGTGTTCCTACAGGTTATCGTGGCTACAAAGGTAATGCTGGTAGTCGTGGCAGATTCATCGGCGTTCGCAAAGGCTACAACATTCCTAACTACAGTTTCGGCAGATAATTTGTACGGACTCTAATCTTTTCTGCAAGTTTTGGACATCACATCAAGTATTGACAACAGCTACAGTGGCTACTGACATAGCTTTAATATATCAGCATTTTTTGTTTGGCATTACGTTCTTACATAACATTGTTAAAAATATTCTATTGGCCATATTGCTAAAAAGAAAATATTTAAACTTGCATATGGTTTAACGATCGGGCGATTTTCATCATTTAATTACTGTATGATCATTGTTCATGAGATTTCTGTCCAAAACAATCAGAAACAATAAATATAAAATTAAAATTGAGTTTGTTTATTCTTTTGTCTTCTCATTTTGATTAGGAGGAGATTTTCAGGAAGATGTGTATTAAGTAAACAGTTTGTAACTGGCTTTGCTCTGAAGACACTGCATTTCTGTCCAGATCTCTTGATAGCGCTACTTGCTAAGATGCTTATCTCTATGTACTTAGGATTTTTTATGCACTTTAGGCTATGAGTTGTTCCACCTAAGCTCATTTCAAAGCTCAGCTCTAAGGCATACTAACAAGTCTTTGCCTAGAATACCGTCCGCAGCTGCTAGTGTAACAGACGCAGAAGGTGAAAGGAGACTTTCTCAACGTTTCCACCCACTACAAGACTTGTTTAACGTCTACACCAACTACAAGACTTGTTCATCGTATCCACCCACTACACGATCAGACCTCTGTCCATCGGTTGTAAGCCTCAGTTGCTTCTACTGAACCACGAATCACCTGTGTCAGTACGCGGTTATGTTTGTATCTGGTGGAATGTCTGTATCTGTTGGCATATCTATGTCAGTAAGCTGGTATGTCTTCATCTCTATGAAGGTACATAATACACAAATATCCCGTACTTAGGAGACTGACTGCAGGTTATTAATGTCCTAAGTGCGGATTATTTGCGTAATGTTCCAGCCACTGTTCTATGCCCTTTTATCCTCTGTGCAAATTTGTTTGCATGTAGGTGAATCTGTGTTTATATGATGGCATTTCTGTGTCTTTATGTAGGTATAGATAGCCTCGGTGTGGACTCTAAAACTTGTCTGCTGTTTGCCTTTTCTCTGTACTCGCAGGTATGTATCTATCTTGATGTAGGTCAGCGGGTTAATAAAGACAACTCACAACCAGCTCATACAATGGAAATGAGAACCGAACTTTTCGGTTCGTTCTTTACCATTACCAAGTGGCAAATGTCTAATAAAATGGGAGAAAGCCATATTATAGGTCACTGGGAAGCATGAAGACAGCCAAGGTTAGATCACTGGGAGACGACTAGACACAAGAGGTCAGTTCACTGGGAGGTGAGAAGAAAGCAAGGGTCAAGTTAAGTTACGTGTGTTCTGGAGATCAGATCATTTTATAACATACTGGGAAAGACAAGCAGCTACAAAACGAAGCTGGTACTGAGATTCGTGAAATAGATTCTGTATTTACGGGCCCATTAAACATGACGTAGTCTGTGAGGGCTTGAAAACGCCTTACTAATTTTAGAAGAGGACTAGCTTGTGGTATTACTATTAGTATCAAGAATAGGAAACACTACTTTCTTTTGCGTTGGCAGGGAAGTAGCCGGTTTCACCAATATATTAAAAATGACAAGAGGCAGGAGGGAGGGAGGAACAACTGATCATATATTATACCAACGATATCCGTGTAGTGTTCTGAAATCTCTCTCAAAGTGCATTAAGTAACTTTTAGGATTTTCCAGGCAGTGTTCTTTTAAACAGTGTGCGTCTAAGTTGGTATATTTTTGACTTGCAAAATACAGATTTAACTGCGTCACGTGTGAAGCCCATGTTTCTTTATAAAATAAGCCATGGGAGCATTAGCTAGTGTTTGTTTGTACCCAGTCTTGTTAAATTAAAATATCTTCCCACCTACCAACATCACTTATATGGCTACCACCACGACTACCGCTACTACCATGAGTGTCACTCCCAGCACCTCAGTGAATATCACCGCCAGAGTTATCACCACCATCATTTCCCACTGTCACTCCTCTTTATTCTTTATATATATATATATATATATATATATATATATATATATATATATATATATATATATATAACTGTAACCACAAACGAGTGGAATTGATCAATAACAACACTGCACTAGCCAAGGACTCGAACCCATGTTGTGCTGGCCCACCTCATGGTGAGCTAGAACCACATGACGCCTTAATTAACCCACAGGACCACCAAACCCAACAACACCGAATACCTCGGATGGCTGTTAAACAGCTAGCTCTGCTGGCCGCGCCATCTTTGTAGGATTGGGTGGTCCTGTGGGTTAAGGCGTCATGTGGTTCTAAGCTCACTATGAGGCGGGCCGGTACAACATGGGTTGAGTCCTTGGCTAGTGCAGTGTTTTTATTGACATAAAGAAAGGCACAATACCGTGACTGGAACGATACACAAATAACCCGCATATAGAAGAGAGGAGCTTACGACGACGTTTCGGTCCGACTTGGACCCTTTACAAAGTTACACTAACGCAAAAGAGAGAAGGACGGAGCGTATATAGGCAAGGTAGTGGTAGTAGTGGAGGTAGAAGGTAGTGTGATTTTGTAAATGGTCCAAGTCGGAGCGAAACGTCGTCGTAAGCTCCTCTCTTCTATATGAGGGTTATATATATATATATATATATATATTATATATATATATATATATATAATATATATATATATATATATATTATATAATGTCGTGCCAAATAGATAAAACTTGCGATTTTGGATTAAATAGCAACGCTCTTCTTGCAGAATAAGGCAAGCAAAAATTTAAGTATGCAATAATTTCGCAAAAATCATTCTAAACCTAACGAAAAAAATATATTTCATTGTGTTTGTTTATTATTAAATTATTGTAAACTTATCTAAAATATATTTAGTTGGATTAGGCTAAATTAAATTGGGTTTGTTATAGTAAGGTTAGGTTAGTTTTACATTAACATAAATAAAAAAATATATCTTTAAACGTATAAGAGAAAATTTTTAGAAAGGACTTAATTTTAACGAGTTCTCTCTAATTGACCAATTTCACCTATTCGGCATGACATACATACATACATATATATATATATATATATATATATATATATATATATATATATATATATATATATATATATATGTTATGTCGTGCCGAATAGGCAGAACTTGCGATCTTGGCTTAAATAGCAACGCTCATCTTGCCATATAGGACAAGTGAAAATTTGTGTATGCAATAATTTCGCCAAAATCATTCTGAAACTAACGAAAAAAATATATTTCACTGTGTTTGTTTAGCATTAAATTACTGTAAACAAATCTAAAATATATTTAGTTGGGTTAGGCAAAAACAAATTGCTCTTTATATAATAAGGTTAGGTAAGTTTTCTAAGATTCTTTTGGTGCAAAATTATAAATTTTTACATTAACATTAATGAAAAAAATATATCTTTAAACGTATAAGAGAAAATTTTAGAAAGGACTTAATTTTAAATGAGTTCTTGCTAATTGACCAGTTTTACATATTCGGCACGACATTATATAATATATATATATATATATATATATATATATATATATATATATATATATATATATATATATATATATATATATATATATATATTATATATATTATATAAATTATTATTATTACTGTGACCAAGAACGAGTGGTACTGAATCAGTAGCAACACTGCGACTAGCCGAAGATTGAAACCCATGTCGTTTTGGCCCTGCGTCGTGGTGAGCGAAAGTCACATGACGCTTTAACCCACTGGACGACACAATCCTACAAGAATCAAGCACCTAGCAGAGCTAGGTGTTCTACCATGATATATATATATATATATATTATAATATATATATATATATATATATATATATATTATATATATATATATATATATATATATATATATATATATATATTATATATATATAATTATATATATATATATATATATTATGTATGTATATCGTGCCGAATAGGTAAAACTTGCGATATATATAATGGTCATTAATGGCCATTGTCCCAAATTTTCCCACCATAACAACGTATTGAAGTAGCGATATGGGAGGAAAGTATAAAATAGACCAATAAACAGCATAGGCACCATAGGCACAAGAGAACAGTGTTTCAGTGTACCAGATCCGCATCTATTCAAGCTTCCCAGTCTGGATGATCTGGCACTTAGGAGGTTGATGACTCGGGTTCCTCTTGAAAACATCGACACTTCATCGGCAAAATTTTAGTGTAAAAAACGCGAAATCGGAAAAGGACTTTTTGGACACACACACACACACACACACACACACACACACACACACACACACACACACACACAGTCTGTACATTAATGTTTTGAAACCATTATTATAATTTTATTATATTAGGGTTAAATCCGTTATTTATTCTATAGTTATGCCTCGTAAAGAGTAACATATTAATGAGGTAGAGAGAAATTACCAATTGCTTCAACATTATTTATTTGTTTACTTTGCTTGGAACAATAATTAAATTCTCAGAATTCTAGGTAAAAGTCCAGTGATGTAATACATATTGTGCAAGTTTAATTATCTGGAGTTTATCAGTTAATCTAGTAACACATTCATTTAAAAATCGTAAATAATTTAATGTAATCCTGAATTTGGTTTAGAAAGACACGTAAGCAAACACTATAACATATTTATTAGAAAACATTTCGGTCCTGGGACCTTGATCAAGGTCCCAGGACCGAAACGTTTTCTAATAAATATGTTATAGTGTTTGCTTACGTGTCTTTCTAAACCAACTTGTCGGTATTTATTACCAAGGTTTATACCAATCCTGAATTTGGATACAGATTTTATCGGAAAAAAAAGCAATACGCTAGTTAATAGTTGCTGATGTATTCATTTTTTTTAGCAAGCAGTTCATTCTAATTAATATTCATGCATTGTCCACGATATTAAATAAAGATTACAGTCCATTATCTTCCGAAGGCAAGGTTGGTAGGCTTGTATCTGTTACGGACGTCGATGTAGCGACCGAGGCCACCAACGTAACCTGGATTGCCACGATAATAAACTACAGGAAGACTATAGACACCGCTGCCCAAAGACTTAAGACCACGGAAGGACCGACCAAAG